GTTCCAGGAAGGTTTCTTGGGGAGGAGGGTGGGATGTTGCTCCTCTTACTCCTCTAAATAAATGAGAATTTATTACTACACACAAGACATTTCCTTCCAATATCAAGAGGCTGGAGAATGGAGAGTTGTGCTCACAGAAAGCTGTTCCTGCTTGGTTGTTCAGACATTTGAGAGGGGCTTTCACAGGAGTCCCAAGCGAGGGGGAAGAGCTTTCCTATAGCCTGGAATGCTCTAAGAGGGGCTCTCCCCTCCCCTGGCTCACCAGCAGCAGTAAACCAGTGCCCCATGTGTTTCCTGGCAGATTTTGGATGAAGTGGAGAAGAGGAGAGAGATGTCCCCAGCCCTCGTGCACCCCTTCATGCGCAGTGTGATGGAGGCCCCGTTCCCTGCCCCGGGACGCACCATCACCGTGAGGAGTTTCCTGCCTGGAGCAGGAGATGAGGTAACAGGGATCAGGATCTTTGCAAACTGTCCTGCAGTGGTGCTACCTGTAAATAATTAGTGTGGGGTGAATGCCCTGAAGTCGGAAGGGAGGTTGTTACAGAAACCGTCTTTCTGTGGAATCCCCTACACATTGGAAGTGATTCCCTGCTTTTTTAAGGAGGAGCTGTTGGGGGAGTCCTCAGTGCTGCACCAACTGCCTGGGCCACGGGGTTCCACTTAGGATCATAGAATATCTTGAGCTCGAAGGACCCACAAGGATGATCCAGTCCAACTCCTGGCCCTGTACGGGACACCCCAAAATCCCACCCTGTCCCTGAGAGCGTTGTCCAAACACCTCTTGAACTTTGGCAGGTTTGAGGCCGTGACCACTGCTCTGGGGAGCCTGTTCAGTGCCTAACCACCCTCTGGTGGAAGAACCCTTCTCTGAGATCCAACCTAAACCTCCCCTGGCACAGCTCCAGCCGTTCCCTGGGTGCTGTCACTGGTCACACAGAGCAGAGATTGGAGCTGCCCCTCACGAGGAAGCTGCAGACCACAATGAGCTCTGACCTCAGGCTCTTCTTCTCCAGGCTGAGGGGCAGCAGCTCTGGGCTCCCCCAGCACTCTGTGTCTCTCTCACCCCTCAGGTGATGGAGCTCTGCCGCCCCTTGGACTCTCGGCTCGAACACGTTGACTTCGAGTGCCTCTTCCAGTGTCTCAGTGTCCCCCACACGATTCGGGTCTTTGCCTCTCTCCTGCTGGAAAGGAGGGTCATCTTTGTGGCTGACAACTTAAGGTAATAACTGAGTGTGAGTGAGTAGTTCTGTCTGAGGGATGCTGTTATTGGATATTGGAAATATTGGATATTTCTTCTGCCTTGGGGCCTGTTCCACGTGCAAGCGTCTTTCACTTTTTGTAATTAGTTGCATTTGAAATCCTTTTGCACTTGCCACACAACATGTGCATGCCTAGAATTTGGAGTATGCTGTTTACACAAGAGGAAATATGTTTACTTTACCTTTTTAGTCTGGGTTGATGCTGTTTTAGCTCCTCATAACTGACTTTAAAAGTGGGTGCATGGGACTTCTGCTGCTGCAACACAAAACACTTGCCCTGAGCGTTTCTAACCTGTGGCTGTAGCTGAGACCCGAAGGAAACACTGACAACCCACCCTGTGCCTCTCTCACCTTTCCAGCACTCTGTCTAAGTGTGGCCACGCTGCTGTTGCAACACTTTACCCCTTCACCTGGCAGCACACCTACATCCCAGTCCTGCCAGCCTCTATGATCGATATCGTGTGCTCTCCGACCCCGTTCCTAATCGGCATTCTCTCCTGCTCCTTACCACAGCTCCAGGACCTGCCCATAGAAGAGGTGAGAATGGGGTGAGGGACGTGTGACAGGACATTTAAAAAGCAAATCTAGAAAAATGTTGGGTTTTTTTTCTTCTGTACAGCAGCATAGCTGGTTACGAGTCAGTGTGTTTTGTACGTCTTTCCTCAGGTTCTCATCGTTGATCTTTGTGCTGACAAGTTCTTGCAAGAGGTGAGTGAAAAAACAGCACCAGTCACTCATGCAAGGAAAAGGCATCAATGAAAGAAAATAAAAACAAACACTCAGGAAAAGCTGGTGTTCATATGTAGCGTCCAGTGGCTGAAGAAATACCTTGGAATCCCTTTGGACTGAGAGAGAAGGGAACAGGCTTAAAAATCCCTTTTGCATGATATGGAGAGCTCTGCAAAGCCAAAGATGCTCCTTGTCTGAGCTGAATTTAAAAACAGATATGTGGTTTATTATGTGAAGGGGACCACTAAGATTCTCTGCTGCCTTCTGGCTGTCTCTCCCTGTACTTGTTCTGTAAAATACTTTCTCCTCTCTCATCTAGCTGGGGTGTGTTTGCTGGTTTGGGTTGTTGTTTTCCCCAGGAGTGACAATCTAGGGAACAAATTATCACAGTTCACTTGTGGCTCTCTGCTGAACTCCACCTAAAGTGCTTCTGCATCACCAGACAAGGACCTACAAACACACTGGGATATTTATTACTAGTTCAGGAGGATATTTGCTTCTCCTTTCCCTTGCCTCACTGTCCTGTTTTGCATTGCAGCCTGCAACTGGAGAAAGGTATTAAAGGATTGGGGTTTTTTTAAAACCCCAATTTTTTTGGGGGGGATGGGTGAGACTTGTCATATTTTCTCAACAGACCTGTTGTTTTTGTTGTTGTGTGTTTTATCACTGGTGAAATAAGCCTGGGTCTGTGTTGTGGCTGTAGCATGTGTTCAGTGTTGGCCAGCTGTGTGTGTGGCTCTAACAGAACGTGTTTGGAGGGTGCTGAGCAAATGTTTTTCATTTCTGTGGCTACAGAACAAATTACACTGCTCCACCAAGATCTACCATGTCCCAGAGTAACTCCCCTCTAACTGCTTTAGGCACGTTGTGGATATTTCTGATCTGTTCCCTGGTTCTGTTGCTGATGGATCTAACACAAAAAATCCTTCCTTGGCCAATTTTTGTCCGTAGGTATCAGATGAAGATGAGATCTTGCCTCATAAACTCCAGGCTGCACTTGTACAAGTCTTGGAAGAACGAAGTGAAATCCTGTCACATGAGCAGAGTGACACACAAGGTATTTCTGTGGAAAATCTCCTGTGGAAAAGTGTTCTCCTATTAGCAGATCTCTACAGGTATAAAAATGAGCCAGATGTTTGGCAGGAAAAATGATGTTATGAGTGTTTTAACTACTGGAAAGGCTTTAGAATTGAACCTGTCCCAGCTGCAGCACAAAGCTGACATGGGAAATTGAATATTTGAGCTGTGACTTGTTTGATATCAAAGAATCACCTGAGATTTCATAGTCTGAGACAGCCAGCCCAAAAAATAACCGAGGTCACTAAAAAAGCTGCTCCTCCTTTAGAAGAGGGATGACCAGAGTGACGGGAAATCCCTCTGTGTCCTCCTCGCAGGTGACGTGACCCTGAACTCCCTGGTCTCTGAGGCTTTTGTGCAGTTCTTTGTGGAGATTGTTGGGCACTACTCCCTGCACATGAACGTCACGGAGAAGGGGGAGAGGGTGTTCCAGCGGGAGCCCTTCCGCAAATCCCACGTGTCCCGCAACGTGCGCCACTTCCTGCAGTTCTTCATGGAAACCCAGATGTTTGCAGGGTTCATCCAGGACCGGGAGCTGAGCAAGAACGTGGTCAAAGGTGGGTTTGGTCTTTTTTCTTGTCCTGGGAAGTTCTCCTGTTGGGATTTTGGCATGTGGAGTAGCCACATTCTCTTCCAGTTACTCGACAAAATTCGTCTTACGAAGGAAAGAGTTTTTGCACCTCTCCTTTCTGGGCTCGATCCTGCAGGTTGCAGGCACTACATGCAGGATTTGCTTTCATAACCTTGTTAATCATTGAAGATGCCACATGGTAAAAGGTGAAGTAGCTCACCTAGGTGAGTGATTTTTAATTTTGGGATTTTTTTTTCTCTTTAGGCCTTTTTGAGGTCCGTGCCTTGGAGTATTTGGAGAGTATTCCAGAGACGGAACGAACTGGAATGAACAAAATCCTTCGCAGCCTTGGTAAGGAAGACCCTTGATTTTTGTTGAGTTTTAAATGTTTAAATTAATTTTAGCTATTGAATAATTAATTTGATGCAAAGGAGAGCAGGTCCCCTTCTTTGCCTTGTGCACTTGTGTTCCTTTGTTTATATTTGCCCCTTCAGGAGATGCTGAATACTTTGCAAGATGTTTCTTTTATTTTTAAGCTTTTGCATCTTTATCCAAAGTTTGTGGGAGATATTGCTCTGGGAGATGTCCAGGCTTCATCTTTACCTGTGATCCTGGCTGAGGACACACTCAGGGGGCAGAAGTTGTGTCTGTAGCAGTGTGGCCATGTGTGACTCAGCCAGATACTCCTGGAGTGTCTCCAGCTCACAGAATCATGGAATGGTTTGGGTTGGGAGGGACCTTAGAGCTCACCCAGTCCCACCCCCTGCCATGGCAGGGACACCTTCCACTGTCCCAGGTTGGACTCCAAGTGTCCAACTTGGACACTTCCAGGGCTGGGGCAGCCACAGCTTCTCTGGGCAACCTTTGTCAGGGCCTCCCCACCCTCACATAAATCCCCTAAAGCTGTTTTTTTTTTTTCCCGCAGGCAGCAAAATGAAATTTCTCCAGAAGAAGTGACCGGGCGCTGCTGCGGGACAGCGGCGGGACCGGGGCCGGGCTCCCTGTGCGGGATGCGGGGGAGGGCTGTGTGTGTGTGTGTGTGTGTGTGTGTGTGTGTGTGTGTGTGCGCTGCGTTAACAATCATCTCACGGATCGCGATCCAGCTCCCGGATCGGGATCCAGCTCGTGGATCAATAAGAACCTCGTGGATCCGAACCCTTCCCGTGTCTCCGTTCCTGGCGGGCGTGGCCAATGCTGGGGCGGGAGGGGCGTGGCCGAGCCGGGAGGGGCGTGGCCAAGGCTGGAGACAGACAGGGCGGGAAGGGGGCGGGGCTTGGCGCCCAAGATCGAGAGGGGCGGGCATCTGACTGGGGAAGGGGGCGTGGTCTGAGTCGGGGAGGGCGTGGCCGGGCCGGGAGGGGCGGGGTTTGCTGGAGGAGCCGCTCGCAGTCCAGGCCAAGATGTCGGGCCCGGGGCTGGTGGCGGGGGACGTGGTGGTGGATGCGCTGCCCTACTTCGACCAGGGTTACGAGGCGCCGGGCGTGCGGGAGGCGGTGCGTGCTGCGGGGCTGGGGCGGGGGGACGCGCGGCTGGGGCGGGCGGGGAGGCCCCGTCTGACGGCCCGTGTGCGTTAGGCCGCGGCGCTGGTGGAGGAGGAGACGCGGCGGTACCGGCCGACCAAGAACTACCTGAGCTACCTGCCCGCTCACGACTACAGCGCCTTCGAGGTGAGCTGGGGCGGCCCCGCATGTCCCGCCTGTCGCCCTCACCCCATACCCCTCTTGGGTCCCCTCCTATACCCTTCTCGTGTCCTTCCCCTAAACCCCTCCTGTCCCTCTCAGGCCCCTCTTATGTCATCTCCCCATTACCCTCTGATGTCATCCCCCCATTCCCCTCTGGCGTCCTTCCCCCAGACCCCTCTGGCGCCTTCCCCCAGACCCCTCTGGTGTCTCCCCCACACCCCGACTGGATCCCCCCGCCCTGTGCCTTCCCCCCCAGACGGAGATCATGCGGAACGAGTTCGAGCGCCTGGCGGCCCGGCAGCCCCTGGAGCTGCTCAGCATGAAGAGGTGAGTGAGTGGTGGCTGCCCCAAGGTGAGCGGGGCTGGCACAGCAGCCGTGCCCTCAGTGGGTGGGTGGTGGCCCCCAGGTGAGCGGTGCCTGTTGCAGGTACGAGCTGCCAGCCCCCTCCTCGGGGCAGAAGAACGACATCACGGCGTGGCAGGAGTGTGTCAACAACTCCATGGCCCAGCTGGAGCACCAGGCCGTGCGCATCGAGAACCTGGAGCTCATGTCCCAGCACGGCTGCAACGCCTGGAAGGTGTACAACGAGTAAGGCCCCCAGCTGAGCCCAGTCCTGAGCTGAACTGCTGTGTGTTTGGTGATAATGGACTTTAGACTAAGGAGAACTAAAGGGACTAAAGACAGCCTGAGAAAGAATAATTCAGTGGTGGAAATAAGGATGAACTTACCCAGGCTGCAGCATAATCAAGCTGCTGCAAAAGCCAAAAAAAAATGTTCTGGGGGGTATTGCTGCAGGAAACAGTGGGGCTGTTTCAGGCAGAGAACGTTAATGTTTGTTTTTGAGAAGTGTTGGCTGAGCTTTAGATGAAGGAATAGGCAAAAGGAATGCAAAACTCAGCTCTGAGAGAAGGCAAAGGGTTGCTTAGCTCAGGAGAGGGGGAGCAGGTAGAGCGCCTGTTATCCAGGACAGTGTCTTTGGGTTGCACTGGCTTGTTGTATCATTAATTCTAGAGGGTTAAATGTCAGGTTCAATGACATTTTAACTCAGCAATTGTGCGTTTTTCTGATGCTTTGCTTGCATTCTGCCATCAGGCACCTGGTTCATATGATAGAACAAGCCCAGAAAGAGCTTCAGAAGTTGAGGTGAGTCGTTCATGTTTCCATGCTGAAATTGGATTCATAGTGAAATTCTTCTCCCAAGCTCTACAGAGGCTGCTGCCATGGTCATAGGAAAAAAAGACTCAGTAATAGCAATAATTAAGAAATGTGACCCTGCCCTCCCCAAGCAGTTACTTTCATAACTGGGATTTATCCATCTGCATGTTGTCAATGGCTGCAAGAGTGTTTTCTGGTAGTACCTCTAAGGATTAAGTATATTTGGAAATTAGCAACAGATACTACAGATTTTAAAGAAATGAGGGGAAAAAACTACAGAGATCTTTCCCTCCCCAGGAAAAACATCCAAGATCTGAACTGGCAAAGAAAGAACATGCAGCTCACAGCTGGGGCCAAGCTCCGGGAAATGGAATCCACGTGAGTGTCGAGAAGTCTTCTGTTAAACCTTGTGTCTGGTGCTGTCTCTCTGCTTTCTTAGTTGTCTTTGATTTTTAAACCAGAGGACTGTTAAATAGCACTTAAAGGCTTCTTTTTTATTTCCTTTCCCTTCCAGGTGGGTGTCTCTTGTCAGTAAAAATTACGAGATCGAACGAACGATTGTGCAGCTGGAAAATGAAATCTCCCAGATCAAACAGCAGCACGGGGAAGCAAACAAGGAGAATATCCAGCAGGACTTCCAGTGACTTCATCCTGACCGTCTCACTGCAGCATGGGTTAAAAAAACCCACAAAACAGGAACTTTGGAGATGCTGTGTTTGGTGTGACCTCACACAGCTGCCAAAAAACCACAGCATCTCCAAAGTTTCTGTTCTCATTGTTTCTTTCCATTGTTTTAAATTCTAGGAGGAGGTAGGGTGGACTCACAGTGTCCTGTTCAAATGTATTATAGGCAAAGTTAAATGCACTGTGAATTGCTTCAGTGTTTATATGCCCAGAGTAGGAGCTTTCCACGTTTCTATGTTTTCCCCGTGCCTTTAATAAACCTCGGTTTGCTATCTGTGTGTGGTTTGTGCTCCATGTTCCAAGGTGGCCCGAGAGCTGCGGAGTTAGGGGGCTGTGCCAGGGGAACCCCCACATCGCCCTAAGGGGGGTGGGTGGGTGTGAACTGGAATTTGGAGTCAGTGGGAATGGGCCAAGCCAGGCAGGGACTCTATAGTGGTGCTCTGTTCCCTATCCTGGTCCATTATCTCCTATTCACTGGTGCTCTGTTCCCTATCCTGGTCCATCATTCCCCATCCTGGTGCTCTGTTCCTTATCCTGCTCCATTATCCTCTATCCCTGGTTCATCATTCCCTATCCTGGCCCATCATTCCCCATCCTGGTGCTCTGTTCCCTATCCCTGGTTCATTATCCCCTATCCCTGGTTCATCATTCCCTATCCTGGCCCATCATTCCCTATCCCAGTCCATCATTCCCCATCCCGGTGCTCTGTTCCCTATCCTGCTCCATTATCCCCTATCCCTGGTTCATCATTCCCTATCCCGGTCCATCATTCCCCATCCCGGTGCTCTGTTACCTATCCCGCTCCATTATCCCCTATCCCGGTCCATCATTCCCATCCCGGTGCTCTGTTACCTATCCCGGTCCATCATTCCCTATCCCTGTTCCCGCTCTCCCGGGGGCGTTCCCCGTGGGCGTGGCTTTCCCTCTGCTGGCCCCGCCCCCATCGCCGATTGGCTGCGAGGCCACCCCACCCCGTGCCCGCCCCTCGTGACGTCACCTCCCGTCTCCCCCCCTCCCATCCGCGTCCCCGCGGCCGCGGGAGCGCGCGCGGGAGGGGGGTGCGCGTGCGCGGCGGTGACGCGCGGTGACGCGGAGCGTGCGCGGAGCGGGGTCGGGTTCAAAGGAGGAAACATGGCGGAAAACAAAGGAGGCGGCGGCGGAGGGGACGCGGCCGCCGAGGCCGCGCCGGGCGGCGGGGGGGGCCCGGACCCGCCCTGCGCCTCCCCGTCCGCCGCCGCGCCGCCCGAGGAGCGCGACAGCCCCGGCGCGGCCGCGGCCGAGCGCGGCGCCGGCGAGGCCGAGGCGGAGGCGGCGGCGGGGCCCGGCGCGGCGGCGGGGCCCGGCCCCAGCCCGGTGCCGCCGCTGACGCCCGCGGCGCCGGGGCCCTTCTCGCTGCTCGACACGTGCGCCGTGTGCGCGCAGAGCCTGCAGAGCCGGCGGGAGGCAGAGCCCAAGCTGCTGCCCTGCCTGCACTCCTTCTGCCGCCGCTGCCTGCCCGAGCCCGAGCGCCAGCTCACCGTGCCCGTGCCCGGCGGGGCCAACGGCGACGTGCAGCAAGGTGAGAGCACCGCGGGGGCTTTCCCTGCGCGGAGCGCCCCGTCCCGGCAGGGAGCGCGGGGCTGTCCCGGTCCCGGTCCCGGTCCCGGCGCGGGCAGGAGCTGCCCGTGCCCCGGTGCTGCCCGGGGGATGCTCCGCGTTCGCGAGCGGCCGCCGCACGTTGGGAAGTTGTTGGGGTCCGGAGCGTGGATCGCGTTCCGTGGGTTTTCAACGCGCGTGGAAGGAATGGAGCTGTTGGACAGGGCGCAGAGGAGGAACCGGGATGATCAGAGGGATGTGGAGCAGCTGTGCTGTGGGGAAAGGCTGGAGAGTTGGGGTTGTTCAGCCTGGAGGAGAGAAGGCTCCGGGGACACCTTATTGCAACCCTCCAGTACCTGAAGGGGTGCTCTGTAAGACTACTAGAACGAGTACTTTAATAAGAAACGTGGAGACAGACTTCTTATCAGGGCCTGTTGTGACAGCACAGGGGACAGTGGCTTTAAACTGAAGGACGATCTGTTTAGATTAGATTTAAGGAAGAAGTTTTTTACAGCGAGGGTGTTAAAACACTGGCACAGGGTGCCCAGAGAGGTGGTGGATGCCCCAGCCCTGGGTCAGACTGGACCGGGCTCTGAGCAACCTGTTGAAGATCCCTGCTCGTCCCTGGGGGGTCGGACTGATGAATTTTAAAGGCTCCTTCCAACCCAAACTATTCTGTTTTGGCTCTCAGGCAGGGACTGGACAGCCTCAGTTCTGCAGCAGTGAGGTAAAACATGTCTAATTAACACCAAACTCACTGTTGTTACAGTGTCACCTCCCCAGCTGGGAACTGTGTGTCCACTGCACCTGCTTTGCTGTGTCTGAGATAAAACCTTGCAGAGCTGTTTGTCCCTTGAGTTGCTCTGCCCCTGCCCAACTTGTGCCAGGTGTTCCTATCAAAACCACAGCCCGAGTTTTATTTATTTATTTATTTATTTATTTATTATACGTTCAGGGATGGAATTGAAAAGCTTCTGGAGCTGTAGATGGGGTGACTCACGTGCTGTGGTGTACAGACCAATTTAGGGCCTTGGTAAGTGGTTTTACAGGTCTTAAATTGGACCCTCTGGTCAAAGAGACCTTGTTTGGTGACATCTTTGGACTCAAGTGTTTCCTGTGTGGCACAGTGAAGGAATTAAAACCTGGCTTGGTAGTGATTCGTTCATCCAAACTGTTCAGAAGTTCATCTAGGATGTGCTCTTAGAAAATTCATTAGTTTTAATGAGATGATTAAGTCTGGTTTGTAAATACACTCACTGAAACATTGAGATGGTCTTGCGGTCCACCTTTTTAAACTCCAGATTTTGCATTATGTCACGGAATCACAGAATGATTTGGGTTGGAAGGGACCTTAAAGATCATTTTGTCCACGCCCCCTGGCACGGGCAGGGACACCTTCCACTAGCCCAGGTTGCTCCAAGCCCCATCCAACCTGGCCTTGGACACTTCCAGGGCTGGGGCAACCACAATTTCTCTGAGCAACCTGTGCCAGGGCCTGCCCACCCTCTTAGGGAAGCGATTTGCTGGTGGAACACACAGAACTTGGCAAGCTGGGTCCATTTTATTAGCAATTCCAGGATTATCCGAGTCCTGCTGTGGGACACAGGTGTGGGAACAACACGAGGTGTAGCTGTGTATAGACTGGAATATCACTTCTTGTAGTGCATGTTTTAGGAGTGCTTGTTGGTGTGCTTTGGTGTAGGAAGAGTTCATCTTTGGATTGCTGCAGCAGAAAGTTTCAGGTGATGTGAGTAAGATGTGGGTTCTGGAGCATCTCTGTTGTGAGGAGAGACTGAGAGGGGATCTCATTAATGCACATAAATATCTCCCAGGGGTGTCAGGGGATGGTGCCAGACTCTTTTCAGTGACAGGACAGGGAGCAATGACAATAAACTAGAAAACAGGTGCCACCTCAACACAAGGAAGAACTTGTTTCCATGGAGGTGGCAGAGCACTGGAACAGCTGCCCAGGGAAGGTGTGGAGTCTCCCTCTCTGGAGACATTCCAGACTCCACCTGGACGAGTTCCTGTGTCACCTGCTGTGGGTGACCCTGCCTTGGCAGGGGGATGGACTGGATGATCTCCAGAGGTCCTTCCCAACCCCAGCTATTCTGGGATTCTGTGTAGGGTCTGGGAGAGTGTCCTGGTAAGGATGTGTGTGATCCATCTGCAGTGATCCATTCCTGCCTGAACACAGGAATTGGCCAGCAGGTCAGTAAAGAACCAGCCATGGACCAGCAAACGCAGTTTTGTGGACAGTTCTCTCTGTACTTTGTGAGTGGAATCAGTTGAGTGCCACAAGAGGCAGTTACCAGTAAATCAGATAGAAAATGGGCATTCTCAGCCTACAGAGAAGTACCACAGTGCTTAGTCATGCAGGTTCCTTCCCTGTTTTGGTAGTCACCAAGTGTTACTTCCACTTCTGCTGCTTCTCTGGTCTCCCTCACCAAGAGCAGGTGCTTTTCTTGAAGGAAGACTTAATGAGAAGTGGTACCTGGAGCTCTACCTGAAGCAGGTTACACTTTACTGCTGCAGGTTGGTTCGTATCTGTTGCACTGGTGAAATCATTGGTTTTGCTCCTATTTGCATATTTGTTGGGAGAAAAAAATAGAAGTTTCCTGTCCTGTCTATTTTAAACATATATATTCTTTTGTGCTGTTTGTTCAACATAAAAAATAGCATCTCACATTCAGTTTAATGTCTTAATGGGTCATTGGAATGCGAATTTTTTTTGGTGAATAGATGATTTCTTAATGCCTGGCGTTTCACCTGCCCAAGTGGGCTCTTGCTTTCAGACTGAAGAGGTTACAAGGAAATGTATTTCTGTCCCAGTATTCTGAAAAATGCTTATTTCTAAGTTAGAGTTTACAAATACTGTAAAACAACTTTGCCTGCACCCACTGCTGCTCCTGCTCCTGGAAGGTACCTTGTTTTGTGGTTTCACTGCCTGGCTGAGATATTTACAATCTCTCTTAAGAAGATTAACTCAGTACAGAGAATGTGTGGCTCTTCCAGCTCTTTGGGAATGTCACTTTTCATTAGGCTGAAAAACTAAACAAGAGTTGCAGGATGCTTTCAGAGAGCCAAGGGGAAACATCCACAGTTAGTTTTGTGTGTGTAAACTGAGGAACAACACGTTTACTACTCCGTGCTGTGATGTGTAGTACCATGAATTAGTTGGATATGCTGAATTCAAGTCCCAAACCCAGTGTTGGTGTATTTAGAAACCGTGTATTAATCACATCTCAAGTTACGCAGTATCTGTTTTTAATTCACTGTGAAAGGGGGACATCAATGATCTGATGGGTGTGAGAATGTGACGTATCCCTCACACTGAGTCTGGTGGTACTTCCTGCATTTTCAGTCTAGAAGAATAACGAAAATTCCCGCATCAAACAGACCTTTTAAGCTGTGTAAATGCAGCATCTTAATTCCAGTGGATGTGAGTACTCATCACTTACAGAACTAGTAAAAAAGCAATATGTGCTTCGCCATTGCCTCGGACATGAAGCAAAAAGCTTTAACTGAAACGCTGGGAAAGGCAAGTTGCTTTAATTGAAAAGTGCTAAAGACGAGTTGCAATAATTAAAGAATCGTTAAAGAGAAGATGGTTCATTAAGAAGAGTAGTTTTAATTTAAAAAACTGTTACATGGTAAGGGCTTCAGCTGATCTCGCCCTCCCAAGGCAGGTCTAGCAGGCCAAGTTTGCTCCCCCTTTAAAGGGCAGTGCTGAGCCCATCCTGGTGGGAACCCCTTTTCTGTGCTTCTGGTAATTTCTCTTGGCTTTTCCTCCTTTTCTATTTCCCTTCTTTCCCTCCTCTCTTTTTGTTTTGGGAAATAAAGCTGAATTGTTATTTTGGGATCCAACATCTGGCCTCGCTTGTGCCAGGAATTTTCAAACTTAACTCCTCTCTGCGTTTTTGGAGAGAGGCAAACTTTGCCTCTCTGTACCAAGTGGGTTGGAACAATCACCTGAACTCTCTTGATTGTTTGGTTTTCTCCTGTGTTAATAAGTGAGGGTCATGAAGCTGTGCTGGAGCCCAGCACGAGTCCTGAAAATTGGTCAGTTCCTATTCTGGGCTTCCTAAAAATCTTGTTGAGAAACTTAAATTTCAGTGCATTTTAAAATATTTCTGTCTGAGAACATTTAGGCATGTTTTATTTTCGTAAGAATTAATGTCTGCGACTGCTATAAATTGTGTTTTCTTATTAAATATAATGTGTTGTACCATTGAGATTTGAGCAAGGATTGTTCAGAAAAAAGTGCTGAGTTAGAAGTGGGCCTTGAAAGAAGTTAATTTTTTTAAAATGTATTTTTACTCTGACGGGTTTCAATCTGATTTTTTCACTGCCTTGACCTGTGAGGGGTTAATTCAAGGTCTAATCACTGAATTAGAGCAGGGCTTTGATGTATGGCTGTGCAGAAACTGCTGGACCCTTGCAGTGCTGAGAGAAGTAAATATTATGCACGTGTAGGAACTACTATTGATGTTCTCACCCAATAAATGACACCTGGCAGAGATTCATTCCTGAGAGGGCTGATAACGTGCCAAGTTTGAAGTTAAGACGGAAACTGGAGTTATTAAATTGCAAGAGTGTTTGCAAATATTTCCTGAACTGGGAAGTTTTATCATCGTTGTAACAATGTAAACATCTGACAGGACTTTAATTATCCCTGTTCACATGGACACTCTGTGTGTGGAATCAGCCTGGCACGTTGCAACCCAAAACAAACCTGTGTGTGAGACCAGGTGTCTAAAATAACCTTGATCAGCAGAATTGGGATTGTGGAAGATGGGTCAATTAATGGTCAGTGGGTGACGTGGCAGAGTTTGCTAATTGATGTCTCATATGTTTCAAGGGAATTTTTTAAGCCATTTGTTCAGGACAAGTGGGATGGCAGGGCCAGGTGTGTCCAGCTCCACCTCCTGCTCTCGGAGCAGGTCTGGTGAGAGGAGGATCCTCAGGGAGCCTTGGCCGGGTGTGTGGGGGCTGTGCTGGGGTGGCAGCGGCACGAGGAGCCTCTGCTGCAGTGTTTGACCATCCTGCTGTAACACAGGAAAGATTTATTGCCTTATTCCTGCTTGTACTGTCAGTGCTTTTGTGGAGCTGATGTTGAAGGAGGTGCATCTTGTGAAAATAGGAATTTTAGTGTGTAAGTGGAGGTATTTAGGAATGCGAGTGTTTGGGTTCGGTGCCTCTGGTTTGATCCTATGAGATTGAAAGTGCAGAGAATCAATCTGTCCCCTTCCATCTTTGTAGCTCTCAAGCATCCTTAAAATTTGGGAGCATTTTAGTGTAGTTGGGATGAATATGTCAGCCTGGAGAAATGAGTTCTGAGCAGGTTCTGAATAATTTTCCTGCTGAAACTGGTTCAAGATGAAACCTGTTGAAAAAAGCTACCTGTTTGGAGATGCATGCAAATAGCCCTCAGAGGAGCATAGTTAGCCTCGAGGAATTTTAAACATAAATATGGACAAGATATTCTCAGAGTTATGAGTTGCAATTAATAAAAGTATTTGTGTTGCAGCTTGAGTTGGGAGCGGTAGATCAAAAGCATCTTCCATCTGAAAGCTGAAGTTCTTTGCAGTGTTCCGTTGTGATTTACTGCTGGATTGTGATGCAGGGGTTTTTCAGCAGCCTGCCTGTTTTCATGAAAACAAAACTACCTTTTATCCTCAATTTACTCGAGTTTCGTGCTCTCTGCCATCCTTTGATGTCTTGTGGTCTAGTTCAGTGTGCTTTATCTAAATCATAAGCAGTTAAAAGGATTACAGGGATGCTACTCTCATTAGTGTTCTTAAAAGCTTTGACAAATAAAGAGGATCTGATGTGCAGTGCAAGGAGATGTGAGTGTAGCAGTTGTATAACTAACAGTGCAACGTGTGTAGGAAAATTTGGGTACTTTCATATCTTTGCTCTGACAAAACCCTTCACCTTTGTGTTGGTTCTCAGCTCAAAAGAGCGTCCCAGGTGAATGGCTCTGTCTGACCCTGTCAGGAGGCTCCATTCGAGTGTTCCAAGGAATCTGGGAGTCTTTTCTCCCTTGTTCCAGGCTGTGGGAGAGCTCTGGTAGGGAGGGAATGGCTCAGGATGTGGGAAGGTGAAACCCCTCTCCCTCTGAGGGGGGTTGGCAATGCAAGGAGGGGTTTTCCTGCCTGCTGGGTTGGTGGCTCTCAATCCAAATTTCCAGATAAGAAGCTCTTCCTGCTTCTCACTCAAAGCAGCTTTAGGAAACTCAGTTTAGGCTACGTGTTGTGGTTGTAGCAGCAGATGGGAGACAAGGAATGTGTATGTTTGAAAATATTTTTGCTGTTCTGGAGCGATTTGTCTGAGAAAAAGCAGAGCTTGTTCTGAACCACATCATGAATTCTTCTTTTTTCAGCACCTGCTGTAGAACTGTGTTCCTGCAGTTAATGCTCAGGGCAGTATTTTGGTGACACTGTGAGTGAGAAAGGAACTGCTGTACAGAGTGTTTTAGACCCCCAGTGCAAAGTTTCACGTGGTGTGGTCAGAACTTCCCGAAAGAAACTTCCCTTTTCTCAGCTCTTCGCTCCAGTTCTGCTCCTGACCTCTGGAGCATCGATTTGTGGCTTCAGAGGAATATGAAAACATCTGTGAGGACGTTGGAAATCCTGATGGTAATAAGTAGGACTGGGGGGAGGTCGTAAATTAGTCTGACCTTCATAATTTGTATGAATGTGTCTAGTTCTAATTCAGCTGCAATTTCGAAAAAAAATATTGATCTTGGTGCTGATGTGTTCCTTGGAAGGGGTTATTTGGCTTTTTGGAAAGCAGAGTTACAGTGGAAATGTGTGTACCAGGACTAATGTGTTTGGTTTGTTTGATGCAGAAAAACAATGTAGTGAGTTCTTCTGGAATATAAAAACAGTGATACTTTCATATTTGCCTTTATTTTCTTATATAAGGATTTTTTTTAATTGAAACTGGTAGTGAAACCTTGGTTTTTTTCATAGGTTATATAAACATTTGACTCTTAGTTTGTCCTAAAACACATTCTTATTAAATTTTTACAATAACCTTTGTTAGCTTGTAAATTATCTCAAGTTTTGACAGGTAAGGATTTTTTTCTTTGATGTAAATATTATTTCAGTGTGATTTTCTCTAGTCTTCCTTCCCCCCTCACAAAATCAACCACATCTCTATCTATTCAGTGCTGCAGTTCAGTTTCTAATATAAAAGGTGCTGCAGTAATTTGTTTTATATTAGATTCAAAAGACCAGGATATGAGATGTTTAGTGGCTCATATATTACTGGCAAGCTCCTGTTGGAAATAACGGGTGTTGAGACGTGAAAAAGAAGTTAAATGTGCTCAGTGAGAGTTGCAAGGCCTTGTTATCTCTTGAGGTTTTGCAGAATGTGGTGGGGGCACCTTGTGTGTGATTTGTGTGTGAATGTGGAGGTGCCAAAATTGGGTGTTTGAAAGTGAGAGCAGGATCTGGGACTACCCCTTCCCTGTGTCCTCCCTGCCAGAAGCAGTGGGCAAGGTGGAATTACCCGTGGTCAGACAGAATCCACCCCACAGGCTCTCAGTTGGATCAAAAGGCTTGATTTTATCCCATCTTTTCATTTGTCTGCTTGAAAACCAACCCCAAACTTGCCTTGCAGGAAGGGCTTTGCACCTGTGGAATTGGACTTGTTGCTGTGTGAAGATTGGAGATCTTGGGCTTGTTCTGTTTGGTTGTTTTCTTACGATATTTCATGTCTTTGACCCCAGGCAGCACTAAAATAAGGTTTAGTTGTGGTCTGGTTTAGGTGGAGCAGTTTTAATGGTAAATATCTGAGATTTTTGCTCTGTAAGAATATGTACATCAGCTCCTAGATGGCTTTCATCCAGGAATTCCTAAAGGATTTTGTCTCTCAGTAGTAAGAAAACCTCAAATTTCTTCATACAGGGAAGGCTTCACTGTGTGTGTGAAAGCTTTTGTACACTTAGATGCTGCAGTACTGGTTATTTTTCACATCCTGCTCTTGAGATGTGTTCAGTTTGATGAGACAGGGAATTTTTAGTTGCATTATTGTTGCTCTGCAGTGAATCTCCTGTGTTCTGAAGCCATCATTAATTTCAGCACTTGACAAAATGAATGCTACTTCACTCCTAATGTAATTAATCTCTCAGAAATAAGTCCTGCTGTCCTAATTGAATATCCACAAAGGAGTTGAGCATCACTTAATTACACTTCTCAAAGTTGTTTCGGGTGTTTCAGTGTATAAAAATATTTCCAATGGCTTGGAAAGCTTCTCCTTGAGAATTATGTTCTCAATAAATTGTACAGGAATTTGATTTAAGATCAAATGACACTTCTCTGAAGAAAGTATGAACCATTACCTTGGTGATAGATAGGTTTTCAAACCTTCATGTAGGTTGTTCATAGACATCTTTAAATATCAGTTTGCTTCATGTAGTAACTTTTTTGCAGCTCTGCTGAGGACATAAAACTAATTTAGTGATCACAGAGGATGACGGAGCAAGGTAGTGGAATTTTATTAGTGCATCTGCCTCCCTGACCTCATGGAAATAGGTTATATTAGAAATCTTCCTCTGGAAGAACACTGGGACTGCCATGGCAATTCCAGGAACATCACTAAGTCACCCCAAATCTCTGGGCACACCCCTCTTAATGCTTGTCTTGAGACAGGCCAGACCACAGACTGTCATAATAAATAATTAACAAGTGTTAGCTTTGCAATCAAAATTAAATATTTGCATGGGGAGAACAAATGGCTAAAAATATGCTTTTTTTGGGGGGGGGGAGGAGGGGAAGAAATAAACAGGAAAAACTGCGTATGATGTTGAAATCATCACAGCTTCATTCTGAGTGAGGGATCCTTTCCTGGAGAGCGGGGTGGGTTTCCTTAAGGGGTGTTTATTTGGGAGTGAAACCATGACCTGGTGGTTAAGAGTAATGTCAGCTGTGAAATCTGTTGTGAAAGGCTCAGTCTGAGGGGTTTTGTGTTCGCTCTTGTCACCTTTGCCTGTGGCTGCCCCCGTTCTGAGCGCTGTGGCTCGCCCTGTGTTGCAGTGGGGGTGATCCGGTGCCCGATCTGCCGCCAGGAGTGCCGCCAGATAGACCTGGTGGACAACTACTTTGTGAAGGACACCTCGGAGACGCCCAGCAGCTCTGATGAGAAATCCGAGCAGGTATGGGCTTGGCCTGGCCTCAGATTTCACGTTTTATTTCTGTGCCTGGTGGTGCTTCCCCAGCACAGCGAGTGTGTGTCCCTTGGCAGGTGTGCACGAGCTGCGAGGACAACGCCAGCGCCGTGGGATTCTGCGTGGAGTGTGGGGAGTGGCTGTGCAAGACCTGCATAGAGGCTCACCAGAGAGTCAAGTTCACTAAAGACCACATGATCAGGAAAAAAGAGGATGTGTCTTCAGGTGAGTGTTTGGGTTTCGCTTTGCCCTGCCCCCTATTAACGCCACTGAATGTGAAAAGAGGAAGAGAGAGGAGGGTTTAGGTAACAACCAGCTGTGTGTGGCTTTTCCCAAGGATTTGGGAAAAAGTTTAGTAAAAAGTTACCAGTGCAAAATTAGTAGGTCTAAACCCTAAATTATTAGCTGAGTTATCAGTTCATACTTTGCACAGTTTCATGTCCAGTGGAAAAAATGCTTTGAGGTGTAGAAGCCGAGTGCAGCCTCTGGAAAGGATTTAGATCCATTCTTAATAATCCTGTTTAGCAGAACAAGTAACTAAATGAAGGGGTTGGAATCTGGAGGGCACTGACATATCGATAATCCTATCCATTGGCAAGGAAATTAAATTACATGTTTTGCTGTATTTTGTTCTAAGGAGCAATTACAGCTCTCCCAGTGGACAAGTATATACAGATAAGCTTAGAGACATGTTCATTATGATCCTGTTGTATTGATATTGCTGAGCAAATGTGGAATTCGAGTTTATTTTAGGTTTAATCTCTCAGTTGGGAAAATTGAACGTGAGAAGTGTGTGTAGGGTTTGTTCAGACTTTATTAGAAGTTAATTCTTAAACTGTTGTTTTGTTATATATGATTTGTAGCCTATAGAAAATGTTCTCAAAACAGGTCCAGGGAATATGGATTTTAGCTTAGAAAATTGGATTTGTAAATGGGTTAAAAGTTCTGTAGGTTCTCCACAATCTGGATGTATATGAAGAATGATCATATTGAGGAAGAGAGACCTTGACTTTGCTCTCTCTCTCCATTTAAAATTAATTAAGATCTTCATGATTATTTTTTGTATCCTTTCAAAGGAGCAAACACTGCTTTTCTTTCTGCCAGCACTTGTCAAAATCATATTAATGTCAAAAACTTTGCTGTTGAGCTTAGTTCTTTTAGACAAGGATTTTTTTCCCTTGCTTTAGCAAACAAACTTCACTTTTGGAGAGGCTTCTCTGTATGTCTCAATGAATATCTTTTTAAAGGAAATATTACCCATCTAATTTATTAAATCTCTAGATGAGAAACCCTTAAATCAAATTACAGGGCCTGACAAAGAATTACTGATGTTTTTCCAAGGAGTGCTAAATTGTGACTAAGGTGATATTATAGCTCAGCTCTCCCTTTGATAACCTGACTGGGAAGGTGCTGAAAAATGACTTCCAATAAAATAAACTTTCCATCAGAAGTTTTATTTATCATAGTTATGAGGAAGGGCTGGTCATTATTTTTTATTCTTCTTGGACTCAAAGATGTGCCCTGGAGACTTTAAATTTTTCTTAATGAGTGCCAACTGCAGATTCATCAGCTCTCTTTCTTCGCAATAATTTGCATGATATAACAAGCTTCAGAAACACTGGAGACTGAGGAAGACCATCCATGTTTTAAACCCTACCTGCTGTATCTTCCCAGGGCTGCTTTCCTCTTTGCTAAGCTCAAAATATCTTTAGAAAACCCTGCAGCACCTTTTAGTAAACTCAGAGCTATTTTTGGACACTGTTATTTGCTCAAGTGGAAAATTGAAGCAGTTTAGGTGGGGTTTAAGTAACTCCTGACAGAGAGTGTTTGCTCTGCAGTTACCTCTTGGTTGTGTTTGACTTAATGGGGTGTGTAAAGGTTTTGAAGGGATAACTTAGAACACCTATGGGTATAAAGGTTTGAGGGTTGGATCCATCCTTGATTGTGCCAGAGCTGAAATCCTATGGAGTGAAATCTTTAACCACGTGCACACCTGGTGTTTGGGTGCAGTTCTGCATTCTTACAGGTGTCAGTGCCTTTTGGGTGCTTGGGAGAGGAATTCCTTCTGCTCCTTGAATAAAGTGGAAACAGCTGGCACTGTAAATCAGGAAATCCTTAAGGTTGCAAAAGACCTCAAAGGTCATCCAGTCCAAGCACTGACCTAATGTATTCACAGGACCTTTAGGTTGAGGACAGGTCTGGAGTTGTCTTTGTAAGTTCGTGGTTGTTACTCAGCTTGGGATTTAGTTGTTTTGCCCTTCAGATTGTCCAGCTTTTATTTTAAAACACACAAATGGTTTATTTTTAAAAACAGAGGCCGTGGGAGCATCTGGTCAACGTCCTGTTTTCTGTCCTGTGCACAAACAAGAGCAGTTAAAGCTTTTCTGTGAAACCTGTGACAGGCTGACGTGCAGAGACTGTCAGTTACTGGAGCACAAAGAACACAGGTACAGATATTCCCATCTCTTAATTTACTCCTTGTTGGACCGAAACGATCACTCACAAAGGAAAAACGCGTGGACTGTGACTTGAAGTGATCAGTTGGTTGAGCTTTGTCAAGCCTCTTTAAAGATCATATTCAAAACAACATGAGCTGAGGAGATTTGGTGTGGTTAAGGTGTGAACTTTCCCAGTGCTGTCACTCTGCTCAGGACTTGAATGGAAATTCCTGCAGCCCTGAGCAGCTGGTGCTGTAAAAAGGAGCAAAAGTGATACAGTGAGTCACGGCTGAGGTCATTTTTTTGAAAGGGCATATTTTATTGTGCAATAGTCTTTCAGTGCAGGGGAATTTTGTAAAGGAAAGTCTAAATTTTTCCTCACAGATGAATATTCCCCCCTTATTACAGAGGGGGAAAATGGGTTGGTTTCAGTTGGTCGAAAGTTATTGCCTCATTACAGATGAAAAGAAATGCTGAGTCTGGCCCTGCTGCCCGAAAAAGTTGGAATCTCTTAAGATACATTAAAACTTCCTGCTCTTTAGGAGCTCTATCCTATAATTGAATGTGTGAACAAGTGTTTTTCGGTGTTATAATAGAGACTCTGGAGATAAATACTTATTTATCAGCCACAGCACCACTGCATTTTCTAGTCAGGCTACAAGTGAGTCTTCCCTGTAAAGGTGCAACATTGAATTTAGTGTTTTTCCCAGAGTAGTTGATTATTCCCAGACTGCTCCAGCAGCCTGTGGAGAACTTTTGGTTTTGAAATTAATATTATTAAAATATTAACAACCTCAAATATTCCTGCTCTGTTCTTTCACAGGCTTGATCCTAAATATCCTGGAAGACACCCTTGTCACAAAGTGTGATTTTCTGGGATATGTTCACTAACTTGTTCTAGTTGGTTTCTTTGCATCTGTTTTGTGCATGTTGCTAATGGATTAACAGATGGATCTTGTTCTTCTTACCTGTGCTCTTCCAGAAAGAGAAGAGGATCCTTTATGGGATCCTTTATTTTGTATTTAAGTGATCAGTGCATTTTCCTCAACAAAATCTGAGGTTCCTGTATCTCCTTGAGCTGCTATTCCATAGCTTGCTATCCTTGGAAATGATGCAGTGCATCCCTGTGTGGTTGGAGTTGTTGTTTCCCACAGAGGTTCAGTTTTATGGATGCTAGAAAAGGATTTTATCAACACTTCAAACATTTTTCACACTGATCAGCAGATGCAGAGTCTGATTTTTCTGCGTGTTTTGTCATATTTTTTTCAAAATGTTACAGTTTTACCCCTGAGTTGGGAACCCTGGGTAATTGGTGTCTTCTCTTGCCTGTTGTTCAAAAGGTACCAGTTCCTGGAAGAAGCTTTTCAGAACCAGAAGGGTGCAATTGAGAATCTTTTGGCCAAACTTCTTGAGAAGAAGAATTACGTAAATTTTGCAGCTGCCCAAGTTCAGAACAGGTAAGTTCCCCAAAAGGATTAACTATTACTTTGCCTCTTTACTGAATCACAGCAAGATGAGTGATGGGATTGGAATAACACATTTGAGTTGATTCTGTACCTTTAGTGGTATTGGACTTAATTTTCATAATGGTTTTTGTATCCTCTACAAGACAGTTGGAAGTTGTTAAATATCAAAGATCAAAGGTTGAGTAGAAGCAAAGATGTGACACATTTATTGCACTTTGGGGAGGAGGGAGAATAAAAAAGGCAAGGAAACCCATCTGATGATTTCTGCTTCATTCAGCTCTAGGTGACAGGAGGGTTGAAATACTGAAATACTTTTATGTTTCAGATGAATGCCTCTGATAACTGCACAACAAAAGCTTGGTTTGACTTTGACTGGGAATTGTGGTTGGTTGTGGGGTTTTGTTTGGGGTTTTTTTAGGGCAGCTGAACTTTAGATTCCCAGGGTTTGCTCAAATTCAACGTCATGTTCAGTACTGAGTGTAGAGACAGAGCACGTGATCTCTGCTGGCTTTTCACCCACTTGGGTGACGTGGTTGTGCTGCAGCTCAGGGAATTCCCCTGTGATTCTCGGGGCTTTTATGAGCCCTCTTGGCAACTTTCAGGTCATTTGCAAAATGACACATCATCTGGAGGTGGAAAGTACGGATGTGCACCACAGGTATGAGGAGAAGTTCTGGTGCAAATTTTTAACTCCTTGTGGTACCATGTACATTAAAAAAACAACTGTAAGGGAAGGAGAACGTATGACAGAGGCAAATGTGTGAAGGTGGAAGCAGTGAAAGTCAAAATTTTTATGTGCTGATTTCCATGGAAGTCTTTGCACTGTCTGACAGCACACTGCTCTCTCTCTCTCTCTCTCTCTCTCTCTCTTCTTATTTTTAGGATAAAAGAAGTAAATGAAACTAACAAACGAGTGGAACAGGAAATCAAAGTGGCAATATTCACCCTCATCAATGAAATCAATAAAAAGGGAAAATCTCTCTTACAGCACCTCGAGGTACAGTTCAGGGAACGAGGAGTGTTCAGTTTCCAGTCCCCTCTCAAGAACCCACACGTTTGAAAACAGTTTGTGTGCTGTGACTGCAGGTGTTGTAATGCTAATATTGCCTCTGAGTAGTGTGTTGGAGTTAAATCTCTTGTTTATCCTTTCATAAGAGCCTGTGGCTCCTTTAATGTCCGTGCCTCGTATTCAGAATCAGGCTGATTGTAAAGGAGTGTGTGAAAATCTCCTTTTCATGTTCTGTTTGCCACGTTTCTGTATAATAATGTAGCTCTAAGGTGTGTGTAATGTAATCTTTTCCTCAAATAGCTTTTTCTAAGGTTCATGTAAGAACAGACACAGCAGTCTTATGTATTTTTACATGAAAGGTGTAAAGCTGGTATTTAAAGTTACAGAGATGGCAGTAAAGGAGACAAAGACTTCAAGCATCCTTTCCAGATAGCACATCCTGAATAATATTTACATCCTGACTTTTATTAAAATCCATGAAAATGTGACTTATTATTACTTCCTTTATCTGAGAGGAAATCCATCATAAGAAGGTAGTTAATTGCATATGGCCAGTCTGCCATGATGGGACTGAAAAATTTAAGATCAAGTGAATTACAATAGATTTTTTCTGGTTAAGGAACAATTACGTGGCAAGGAAATGGAACATTCCTGGAAGAAAAAAATAATTGGATCATGAGTAAAAGAAATAATTTAAAATTACATGAATTTTGGCTTTTCTTGATTACCTAGTGTTTGTTACAAGCTGGAAAATTGCTCCCCCAGTTCTTTGTTGTGCTGCTGGGCCTTGGAAGAAATTGAGGGAGAAACTGGCCTTGTTTTAGTTGCTGATAATTTTCTGGGATAAAGCTGATAATTTTCTGGGATAAAGCTCTTCTCTGAGCCCACAGTCATCCCTGCACTTTGATACCTCTGAGAGGAATGGTGGAAGGGAATATTAGAGAAGGATTGATCGTTCTGGCACCCTGAGAGTGAGCATCAGTAAAAGCTGCGTCGCTTGGCACATTTTCCTTTTGCTCCAAGAACTGGGATAGCAGTTTGCATTTTCCTCCTGAACCTGAAACCACCCGGTTGTGATAAAAGTTTTTGTTTCTTTGTAGAATGTAACAAAGGAGAGGCAGATGAAGTTAATACAGCAGCAGAATGACATCACTGGTCTGTCACGACAAGTGAAGCACGTGATGAACTTCACGAACTGGGCGATCGCGAGTGGCAGCAGCACCGCTCTGCTCTACAGCAAACGGCTGGTGAGGGGCACCCTCTGACTGTCAGCCTGGACTCTGCTGAGCTGGAAGGGATCACAGGATCATCCAGTCCACCCCTGGCCCTGCACAGACACCCCAAAATCCCACCCTGTTGCTGAGAGCGTTGTCCCGACCCTCCTGGAGCTCTGGCAGCCTTGGGGCTGTGCCCACTGCCCTGGGGAGCCTGTTCAGTGCCAACCACCCTCTGGGGGAGGAACCTTTCCCTGAGATCCAACCTGACCCTCCCCTGACACAGCTCCAGCCATTCCCTTGAGTCTTGTCAATAGTCACAGAGAGCAGAGATTGGAGCTGTCCCTCACAAGGAAGCTGCAGACCCTGATGAGCTCTGACCTCGGGCTCCTCTTCTCCAGCTGAAGAGGAGTGACCTCAGCAGACCAAGTGACCTCAGGCACTCCTTGTATGGCTGTACAGACTGAGCTGTACAGTTCAGAGAATGATTAGTCAAAAAAATTTCTAAGTATTGTTGCAGCTTCACTAGATCATATCCAAGGAAGAGACAATGAGTTATTCGTGTGTCATTTAATAAACTAAAATCCCCCTTCTGTAACAATGGGATAGATTTCCCAACTTGAACACCACTTTTCAATTCTAAGTTAAGGATTTAGGGTTATTACTGTAGAAGGAATGGGGTCAAGCTCTGTAAAGACACCTCAGTGTTTCATTTGAGTCACTGCATTACTATTATGATGTAACAGTGCTGCTCTGTAATCCTCAGAGTAAAAAAATGAGTTGTACAGTGGATGATTTTCCTGGTGAACTGAAAACTTTCCAGGCTGTGAACCAAACCAGTCCTTGGTGTTTCCCAGCCTGAACTCTCTGGGCAAATGCACCCTCCTTATTTCTCTTCCTGCATTCCTTTGTCACCAACAGTCTGGTTTTGCTTCCCATCAGATAACTTTCCAGCTGCGGCACATTTTGAAGGCGCGTTGTGATCCCGTCCCGGCTGCCAACGGAGCAATCCGCTTCCACTGTGACCCCACCTTCTGGGCCAAGAATGTGGTCAATTTAGGTGAGAAAACTGGGGGTGTTTGTTCTGTGTCACTTGAGGAACTCAGCTGAGTTGGGGGTGCAATACATCTGTATTGAAGAGAGTCATCTCCGTCTGTCTTGGCTTTTAAGACTGTGCAGTTCCAGTTCTTTCGCTCTTTCCTCAGAAATCACGTTTTTTAATTTTGCAATTTCTTCTTGTAATCTGAGTTCTCCTTTTGTTTCTGTCACATATGGTTACAGAGACTTAAAAAGGAAATTTCAAGCTTAAATTGCTTTTTTTACTGCCACTGAGGAAACTGCAGTAGAAACATGTGACTATTCTACAGTTATCAACCTTTGGATGATGATGGAGATTTAACTGTTTACTTTTGTTTGTTTGTTTGTTTTGTTTAGGTAACCTTGTCATTGAAAATAAACCAGCCCCTAGTTACACTCCTAACGTAGTGGTTGGGCAAACCCCTCCAGCAACAAACCACATCAACAAAGCTCCAGGACAGATCAATCTTGCACAGCTTCGACTCCAGCACATGCAGCAGCAAGTTTATGCCCAAAAACACCAGCAGCTGCAGCAGATGAGGATGGCACAGCCATCTGCCTCCGTGCCCAGGCAGAGCAGCCCACAAGTCCTCCAGCAGCAGGTAAGCATCTTGTGTGTTGTTATTTGACTCAGACTTTTAAAATTGCTCTGTCAAATATAAACCTAGAAAGCAGTTTTATAAACTAAAATCTTTTGGAATTTGGCATCCTTTAATGTGATGGCTCTTGGCTTTGCTTGATGTTATGTTAGTAGTAATCCTACTACTGTGGGAAGAGATTGGCTTCTTTTCTCCGTGTTGAAAGCAAAAATTTTAAAAAACACAAACCCTTGCAGCCTCCCAGGTTGATCAGCATGCAGACCATGCAGAGGGGTAACATGAACTGTGGGGCTTTCCAAGCACATCAGATGAGAATGGCTCAGAATGCTGCTCGTATACCAGGAATACCACGCCACAATGGACCTCAATACTCCATGATGCAACCTCACCTTCAAAGACAAGTATATCCTGTGTACACGCTTCATTTGTGCCATTGTGCCAGACTTTCATTGCCAGTAGATGGTACCTCCAGCTGTAAATGTGTTTTATCTGTCACCCCTGTAAACTCACAGCCGCCCACATGTAGATGCTCTGCCCTGTTGCAGATTGTGCGGTGACATTCGGTGATGAAACCTTAAAAGTGAAACGTGATCTTTGTGTTGTGTTTTGGTTCTGGGAAGCAAAACATTTCCTTCTGCACTCTTGCAGTGACGTTCAGCTTTTGGGTTGCCTTAGAGAATGCTGAGGAATAGCAAAGTTCGAAGTGATGTAGTTGAGGGGTTTTAGTTCAACCAAATTCTGAAGTGTTTTTAAATTCGAACCTGAAGCATGATGCAGAGCTCTGTAGTCTTTTATTAAGAATAAAAATTATTGATAATGAATGTTAATGTGAGTAAAAAAAATCAAAAGTTTATATTACTCGAAACAGTCACTTTTTTCTTAAAATTTATAGAGAGATATATGAACTCTAAAGTTGTCTTTGGAGGAAGTAATTGCTTTAAAAATAATATATGTGAAAATATTTTGGTGGAAGATGTGCTGTACATTTAAATATTTAGCCACATAAAGTGTTTTTCTCTTTCCAAGTGAAGGGAAATAGCAGTTGCTTTGCATTCAGTGCTGTCAGGTGACGTGGGTAGATGTGAGTTGGTGTGGTTTTGGTTGAGGTCTGTCACGCAGCGCACGTGTTGCGGTGTCCCTGCAGCGCCTGCCCTGCCTGTGACACAGCCCTGCTCTCTGCTCTCTCCCTGCAGCACTCGAACCCTGGGCATGCTGGGCCTTTTCCAGTGGTTTCTGTGCACAACACCACAATAAACCCCACCAGCCCCACCACAGCAACCATGGCCAGTGCAAACAGGGGGCCCACGAGTCCGTCCGTCACAGCCATCGAGCTCATCCCCTCCGTAACAAACCCGGAGAACCTGCCCTCCCTGCCGGATATCCCCCCCATCCAGGTCAGTGGGGGTCATCAGGCACTTACACTGGGGTGATCTGCTTCCCTTTCCATGTATTTTGTTTATTTGGTTACCAGTTTGTCTGTGGAATGATAAAATTGTCATTTAAAATTTAAATCAGAATCTTCAGCCTTTCACGCTTGGACTGTTTTGTCCATATAGGGTTGACCTGCTCCACCTGTTAACTTGTAGATTAATCGGTATTTAATGTTTGTCAGATAGTAAAATTGAGACTTTAAATGATCCCAAGTACTGTGTTACTTTCCTTTGTTCCACAAGGCCGTCCTGTGGGAAGATATCACTAGAATAGTTGGATAGTTAAGATATCACTAGAATAGTTGGATAGTTAAGATATCACTAGAATAGTTGGATAGTTAAGATATCACTAGAATAGTTGGATAGTTAAGATATCACTAGAATAGTTGGATAGTTAAGATATCACTAGAATAGTTGGATAGTTACATATTTTGAGTACCCTGAATGGTGATTTATTCAGGGTTAAAATTGCCTGGAGCTTCTCTGTGATACTCCTAAAGGTAGCAGAGGCAGGAAGCACAGAGGGAAGGTGTCCCACTGCCCCACAGAGAGGGGACATGAGCTGAGGTAGATTTTGAAGTGGAGCTCATTTGGAGAGGTCAAAAGAACAGTTTAATGCACATGTGGAGGCAAAGAAAGTAAAAGTACCGTGTTTTCTGCAGGAGTGTTTGGGAGGCCAGGGAGAAGAGTCTTCATCTCGAGATGTTTCCATTGAAATGCCCATATAAAGCACAGGAGATGTGGTCGTTATACAGGCAACAAAACCTAAATTCCACCCGAGCAGATGGTCTGCTGTAATACCAACAGCAGCTCTCTAACTCCTAATCTGTAGAGTGTGAGAATAGTAGGGAAAAAAAGGATCACATCTCAGTCTGAGCAATCTGTAGTGCTCATTAGGCTTTGCTTACTCACTAGAACAAAACACAAGTGTGAGTGGCTGTGCCTGATTCATCTGTCCGTGTCTGAAGTTCGTGGGACACCAAGTTAGAAGTAGTTCTTAGTGGGATAGTCCAGAACATTACCATGCAGCTTCCAGGTGCACTGAACATGCAGAATTCTGTTAAGATGCTCTTTTTTTTATAGCTGTTCATGCAATAGCTGTGGTGGATTTTAGTTGGATTTTGTGGATAGGGAGCTGTTTAGTCCTTCAAGCTGCTTGCAGCATTAAAACTTGAATACAGTGTGTTTCAAACATCTTATTTGCAGTTATGCTGTCTGGCAGTTAATGGCTTTAAGCAGTTACAGCAGTAAGGACAAACAAGTTCATGGCTTCCCTTAACTGCAGAATAACTCTTGCAACATCAGTAATCTGGTAGTTCATGACTAACACTGAGCATCTGGGAACCAGAAAGTTTGGGATGACCTGGAGTAAGAGCAGCCTGGGACCATACTGGAAGAACTCTGATTTAGGAACCTTTGAAAAAATCTTACTTTAAATTTCTTGTTTGAAAGCCTGATCTCTGTATAAAACTGATAAAAATGTTTGCTGAGTGTCCTGAATCCTTGAAGGGAGAATCAGCAATTCAAGTGAAGGTTATGATCACAGTTTAAAGATGTGCAACTATTATGGAATTTGAATTAGACTTCTCTGATTCAGATTTTTGTTTTTATTTCTTAGCTTGAAGATGCTGGTTCCAATAGTTTAGATAACCTGCTAAGCAGATACATCACAGGCAGCCACCTCCCCCCACAGCCCACCAGTACCATGAATCCCTCCCCAGGACCTTCAGCTCTGTCTCCAGGGTCATCAGGTAAATATGCTTGGTATTTGTGGCATTGAAGTTGAAAACAATTCCTTACCATTTTCTACCAAAAGGAAAACGATGTTTTATTTAAAGTTTATTTTGCTCAGAAATAGATTCTTCTGGAAATTTAAATTTTTACCCTCCTTCAGAAAAGTTTTTATAGTAACAAAGTGCCAGCCCACGACTGAAGTATTCCAGAGACACGTAGAGAGAATATTTTTGTCCTGTGTTACCACAATCCTTTTTTTTTTTGTGCATCAGAGGACATAGTTCAGTTATTGTCCCCAAATGATGACTGAGTGGACCATTCTGAGGTATGAGAAGTAAGTTCATAGAATGGCTTAGTCACAGAAATACACCCACCAATCGTTTGAGTGGGGTCATTCTGAGTATAACCAGCTAATGATAGAGATTTCAGTATGGACGTGAACAAATTAGGTCACCAGTACCTAAGGCTGAGTTATTTAAATATTGAAAATGTCCATTTTTATTAGTAAGAAGATGGTTTCAGTCACTAGGAAGAAGTTTTTCCTTGTGAGGTTGGGGAGGCCCTGGCACAGGTTGCCCAGAGAAGCTGTGGCTGCCCCATCCCTGGAAGTGTCCAAGGCCAGGTTGGATAGGACTTGGAGCACCCTGGGCTAGTGGAAGGTGTCCCTGCCTGTGGCAGGGGATGGAACTGGATGACTTTTAAGTTCCCAAACCATTCTGGGATTTCATATGTGTTTCTCTTGGTCTTCTCTCCAAGATGCTGTGGATGAATGGGTCAGCAGTGAGACTTCCTGTGTTTCTCAAAACCTGCATGCAAACCATTCAGAATTTGCTTTTTTGACTTTATTGGTGGCTGTCAGTGCATAAAATTTGATGGCATGGTGGGCTGAAGGCTTTAGCACTGTTTGGATTAGCTGAAATAATTATTGAGTCTCTCATCAACCATGTGTTGTCTTTTTTTTAATTTATTTAATTTGATCCAATCAAATGACAAAGAACAGCTGATTTAGGTGACTTATTAAATTAGGCTATTTTAGCAGCATTTCTGGTGTTACTCAACAGTAGTCACTGTACTGCAGAATGTAAATTTGTACCAAGTCAACTTCTGTGCTGCTTCTTTGCAGGTTTATCCAACTCCCACACTCCAGTGAGGCCACCCAGCACCTCCAGCACAGGCAGCAGAGGAAGGTGAGTGAATGTGTCACATTAACACTGCCAGGCTGCAAATTCAGACGTGAAGAATTAAAAAAAAAAAGAATTGGCAGTGGATTAATAGGGCTTTGAAATAATTATGGCTCAAAACCAGAAGAATGCTTACATGAAGATTTATATTTATTATTTTTTTCTCCCTTCACTTTGGTTCTCTGTTGTAAACTCGAACTTTTGTAAATGTTCTGACATGCTCTGCCTTTCATTTGGCAAACAGTTACCTAAATTTCTTTGCCCTGATGGTTTCTCCCCTTATTTATGTGCTGGTGTCTTTCTAGCTGTGGCTCCTCGGGCAGAACTGCTGAGAAAACTGGTGTGAACTTCAAGGCTGACCAAGTGAAAGTAAAACAAGAGCCAGGCACAGAGGAAGAGATCTGCAGCTTCTCAGGAACAGTAAAACAGGAAAAAACAGAGGATGGCAGAAGGAGTGCTTGCATGGTAAAGTTAGGTTATGCAACAATATGTTGTGGTTGTCCTAGCAGCATGTTTAAGGATTTGGAAATCAAGAAAAAAAGGGAATTTTATTCATAACCCTCATTCTCAGAGGTGCTTTCTCTCTGCCAGGCACAGGGTAGTCTGTCATGTAAATTTTATCTTTAGCTATTAAAATTAAATACCCACAGTGTAGTGGGTTTGCTGCTTTTAATCCCTAATTAATAAAAGCTGTAAGTCACCTGCTAATGGTAGTTCCTGGATATTCACCCATGTGTAATTGCAGTCAGAAATCTCCCAATCAGTCACAAGTTCTTATGCCAGAGCATGAATAAAATATTCATGCAAGAGAATATTTTTCAGTGTTTCCCAGCTATGCTTGATTTAATGGGATTGTGTATTGGGAGCAGGGTGGTGGATTGGAGGATTTTTCCTCATGACAATGAAAGTTTAGTTTTTAATGAAGGATCAGTGTGTTTGGCCTGAAAGCTTATCATGTTGTATATCGGGGGAAATGAGTGTGTTCTTGATAGGAAGGACCTGTGAAAAAGCAGCTCAGCTCTTCATAATGATTCCCCACTTATTTTGGGGTGTGAGTGTAGTCCCTTTAAACAGTGGATGGCTTTTGAATTCCAGCACCTGAAGGAAGATGCCCTTCTAAAACCGCCTCTCTCCGCTTCCCATTTCAGCTCAGCAGCCCCGAGAGCAGCTTGACGCCCCCACTCTCCACCACCTTGCACCTGGAAAGCGAATTGGAAGCCTTGGGAAGCCTGGAAAACCACGTGAAGACGGAGCCAGGGGACCTGAGCGAGAGCTGCAAGCAGCCTGGGCACGGGCTGGTGAACGGCAAGTCCCCCGTGCGCAGCCTCATGCACCGCTCGGCGCGCGCGGGAGGGGAGGGCAACAACAAGGACGACGACCCCAACGAGGACTGGTGTGCTGTCTGCCAGAACGGGGGGGACCTGCTGTGCTGTGAGAAGTGCCCCAAGGTGTTTCACCTCACCTGTCACGTACCAACCCTCCTCAGCTTCCCCAGGTACGGGAGTGGTCGCTGCCGGCCGGGCTCGTTCACGGGGGAGGTTGTCCTCAGTGCCACGACTGGTTTGTCACCCAGCACCAGCTGGTTCTGGGTGATTTCTTGTGGTAAAACTCTCAGTAAGGCTTGTAGTAACTTTTCCAATGCCTGCCTGAATTGTTTGTACCTGGGCAATGTTAGGTTATAAACACGTGATCTCTCACTCTCATCTTGCCTTAAAATAAACTTTACATAAGAGTGGTGGTGTAAAGTATTAAAACATCATTGGGACAGGAATATGAGGGCAGGAAAAGTGGCCTTGACTGGCATGGATTACTGTGAGCATTAAGGGTTATTCCTTAGCTTTGGAAATTCAAGTCTTTACTGCAGTAGAGTGTGAATCTGTAAGAGTGAAAAATCTTTGTAGTCACTGATGAGAATTTGCCCCTGGATATCTGTAATAATTGTGGTTTTTCTCTTTAGTGGAGAGTGGATATGTACATTCTGCAGAGATCTGAGCAAACCTGAAGTAGAATATGATTGTGACAATTCACAGCACAGCAAGAAGGGGAAAACAGCACAAGGCCTGAGTCCTGTGGACCAAAGGGTAGGTCTCAAATCTGCAGGAATCTGCTTCCTAGGAAAAAGTACTTTCTCAGATTAGCTCCCCCCTGCCCCACTGTTTGGAGATGATTTTGCTGTGGCTGCAGCAAATTAAATCTAGATGTGGCTTTTGCAAACCAACCCAGAATGATTATAATGGGATTTTTCTTGCTGTGAGATCTGGCCACATCTCCAGGTGTTGGTGACTGTGGGAATGTTCTAATACATTTGGACTGTAATCACTTAGTAGCTAAAATTTTATGTAAACACATATTCTGTATTTAAATGCATCATTTAACATGTTCTGAGTAAAAAGTTCTTGGCATTTAGCATGGATATAACCTTCATAAAATAGTTCTGGGAGCTTGGTGTGTTAAGACCATGCTGTGAGAGGTGCTGCAGGTGCATTTTTGGGAAAGGTGTAATGGCCTTGACAGTCAGAATTAATTTTAGCTTTATCAATCAGCCTGTGTGTAAAGTGTTCTCAAATCAAATCCCTCCAAAGGTATTACAAGCAAAAGGAAGAAAAATATTTCAGCAGAGAGATTATAGAAACCTCTGGGTTTGGTTTCAGATTGTTTAATTTTGTCTTGTGGGGAAAAGAGAGAAGTCTGTAGCTCAGTCCTGTCCTGTTACATGTGGTTGTGATTGGACAAAAGCAGTAAAAGTGGTGGTACTTTGTTTGTTGGATTTTTTTTTAATTTGCAGTAGATTAGCATGCCCTCTCCATGTTTATTTTTAGCCTTTGGCTTTTGTTTAGGAAGAAGAAAGCAAAGAGGAAGTTTGTGAACATTAAAATGGTGTTCTGCCTCTCAACTCTGCCCTCCTGAAAATTATAACTTTCCTCATTAAGCTTTCGGGGGTTGCATCTAAATTTTCTAGTACTAAGCTGTTGAAGTAACAAACCTATTTAAAATAGGGAGGTGTGAATTTCTGTGCTAAGGAGAAATCAAGAGTATTAATCTGAAGCTGTTTCTTTCTTTATAGAAATGTGAACGACTCCTGCTTTACCTGTATTGCCACGAGCTGAGCATTGAGTTTCAAGAGCCAGTCCCAGCCTCGGTGAGTGTCCTGGAAAACAACTTTGTGATTTATTTCTGATATATAACATCCCTGAAAGCCTGGAGTTGAAGGAGATGACTGCACTAGAAGCACGTCTCCCTTGATCAATCTGAAAGTTCTGGCAGTCCTCCAGTGTTTTGGGATACTGAAAGAAGCTGATTCTGTAGCTTCCCCATGCAGATGCTTCACTGCCAGTCTCAAAACCAGATATTTAAAAATACTTTCAATTAGCAGTTATTGACTTGGAAGAGGATGTCTCAGGATACCCATGAAATTCAAAATGCTTTCTTTGGGAGAGCTCTTTTTTTCTTTCTGGACAAGCTTTTGAATGAAAAAGAGGAAAGAAACTGCTTTGACTCTTCTGTTTTCAGCTGTAAAAGAAGTAATTGTGATGGGAAGCCTTTCTGTGCTGTGATAGATGTAGAATAATGGAATAATTTGGGTTGGAAGGGACCTTAAAGCTCATCTCATCCCACCCCCTGCCATGGGCAGGGACACCTTCCACTGTCCCAGGTTGCTCCAAGCCCCATCCAACCTGGCCTTGGACACTTCCAGGGATGGGGCAGCCACAGCTTCTCTGGGCAACCTGTGCCAGGGCCTCCCCAGCCCTCACAGGGAGGGATTCCTTCCCAATAATCCCATCTAACCCTGCCCTCTGGCACTGGGAAGCCATTCCCTCTTGTACTGTCCCTCCATACCTTTATAAAGAACTTTTTAAACAGTTTGAGGGAAGGAAATTGGTTTTATTTGCTGAACATGCACAAAGTGTGTGACGTTGATACCTTAACTCCTTCCTTGAGCTCTGTGGTGATTTTAGTGATAAATGTTTGTGTTTCACAGATACCAAACTACTATAAAATTATAAAGAAACCCATGGATTTATCCACGGTGAAGAAGAAGCTGCAGAAGAAGCATTCCCAGCACTACCAGACTCCCGAGGATTTCGTGGCGGACGTCCGGTTGATCTTCAAGAACTGTGAACGGTTTAATGAAGTATGTTAACTTCCAATCCCAGCACACTGCTCTTTCAGATTAAGATTTATTTCACTTAGATTTATTTCCACGTGGTTGTGCAGCTCCTCCAGTTTAAAGGCTCTGCTTCCAGTCTTAACTTCTGCTTTTGGAGCAGATGCCGAATCAAGACACGTAAAAACCAAACCAAACCAAGGCAGCTGCAGGAATACTTCTCATTTTTAGTTAAATTTAGTTCAGCCTTTCACAGAGGGAGCTCTTAAAATGCTTTCACTGGTATAAATCTCTGACTGAGGGGCAGGGTGACCTCGTTGCTGTGTGAAATGCTTAGGAAGTGTGGGAATAAAGACAAACAAAGTCCTCAAAGCTGTTTCAAGCTCTACAGATAATTGTTTTACACTCGTGAAATGTGGGAAATTCTATTGGGGTGCTTCCTCTGCTGAAGAGTGCTGAAGAATATTCTGGTTCTAGTACCTCACAGAGGCTGAATACAGAAAAGCTTTAAGGTTGTTATTGCCAGTATTGACCTTACTGCTTTAGCTCCTGGGTAGTTGGGCTCTCACAAAAACCTGTTTTCAGTGGATATGTTGGGTATGGAGTCGTATCTTTTACTAACTTTGCAATGATCCCATCTCAGAATGAAATATTTGTACCTTAAATGTGAAGTGTGATGGGGAGATGAACTACCTGAGTGTCACTGCTAATGGGGCAATGGAGAAATGATGTGAATATTACCAAAAAATGGTGAGACAGAGCGGGAGCTCAGAGAGTTCCTAATTTCTGACCAAAGGCATCACAGGGAGTGGCTTTGTTCTGACCTTAGAAATGCATAAACAGGCCAATATTTCTCTGCACAATGTAACCTGAATTTGCAATGTTTGGGCTGCACTTCTGGCTCTGTGCAGGAGTAAATTGAAGGGACTGCACAGAGCTGCAATTAAAATCCCACTAGTGAAAATCATGGTTAATGATGTGATGCTGTAAATGCTCACAAGCATTTGGGACTTTGACAGCCCTGACTTCTTTATGTCTCTGCATTAGATGGAGGTTCATGAGCACTGGGGAAGAAGTTGCAATTATGTGAACTTCTCAATCAAGGGAATTAATGAAGCAGCTACTGTAGGGTAAAACAAGCTGCATCTCTCAGGGACCAGAGTAAAAGAAGGGAGGAAGGACTGAGGGATGTGGTGATTTTTTTCTTATTTTTCTTTTTTTTTTTTTTAAACAAAAAAAGGTGTTTCAGCTTGTCTGGCTTCTGGCAGATGTTGAGTCCCCCTGACCTCTCACAGTGGCATCATATCTAGTGCCTCTAAGCCAAATGCTTTTAAGAAACCAGAAATCCAAGTGGGCTCAGACCCCTGGAAAGCAGTTTTCCTGGAGCACTTCCCTCCAGAGAGAGAGAGACTTTCCACCAAAATCTCCAGGCAACTAAAATTGAGAACCAAGAAAGCAGTCATGAGCAGAAAATGACTGAGAGCCCCTTACTTGTGCAAGAGTTGTGTGTTTTGTTGAAGGTTTATTTACCAACCTAAGACTGTCTTAAACCTGCTGCCTCTAAGTTTGGGAACTAAAGAGCTCAGCCCATAACAAACTAAACGTGGTGTTTGTTATGGCTGACTTTAGTCATCCAATCCTATGCAAGCTGGTAACTTTAGGAAGGATTATAATTTCATTTTTTTTGACTCTGGTATCCTTTTTAGATGATGAAAGTTGTTCAAGTTTATGCAGAAACACAAGAGATTAATTTGAAGGTAAGCTTTTCAGACCATGCACACTTGGTGAAGGGATGTGCATTTCCAACAGGTGAATATTCCTGTCTTCTTTCATTCACAGGCTGATTCAGAAGTAGCACAGGCAGGGAAGGCAGTTGCATTATACTTTGAAGATAAACTTTCAGAGATCTACCCAGACAGGACCTTCCAGCCTTTGCCTGAATTTGAGCAGGAAGAGGATGATGGTGAAATAACTGAGGACTCCGATGAAGATTTTATACAACCACGTAGAAAACGCCTAAAATCAGATGAGAGACCAGTGCATATAAAGTAATCTAATGATATGGACCTGAAATTTATTGTAAAAACTGTTATTTAAGTGTTCCTGGAATATTATCATGCCTACAGTGGCCACCTTGAAGAAGCTGATAGCTTTTTAAACAGTATTAGATTACAAAAAAACACTTGTACAGAAAAACATTCGCATCAAAAGGGGAAAAAAACTGCGTTGTAAATTTTTAGTGGTTTGTATTTTTTTTTTTTTTCCTTGATCCTTTCTTTTCCTGATGGAGGGGACACACTCATCCTGGTCTCACAGATAAGAGGTGGAGGAAATGTTGAAGAGAAGCAGATTTGATAAGAGGTGTTCCATGTGCAGATGAGACTTTGTAGGAGAACGTTCTGCAGGACTGGACCAATACAATGACTGTGTCTTGCATTCCACTGCAGTGTAAACTGTGAGCAAAGTCCCTGAAATCCCCTCTCTGTGTGAACTCAAGTGTGTGCTGGTCATTGCTTTGGTCACCTCATTGGAGCAGAATTGTGAATAACTGGTCTTCTGTGTCGATCGATTGTTGGCATTTTACTTTCTTTACTCCATTTTATGTGTAGCAAAAGGAAAAAGAAAAATATCATTAAACTGTTCTGAATTGGCAAGTGCAGGAATGTGAGGTTTTGACAGGTGGGAAGAGCTAAGCTGGTGGCAACAACATCCTTCAGTAGGATGAGGTGTATTTATTACAAATCCTGTGCCCAGAACATTTTAATGGAGTTTGTGGCAGAAGCCTCAGCGTTGTCATCTGTCCCTGATCCCCCTGATGAGGCAGAATGTTCTTCCCAGTATTCATTCTCTAGTTTTCTGTACTTAAGATATAGACTGAAGAGGTAATAACTGGTTGGGGTGTTTTTCCAGTCTTCCTAAATATCAGTTTCTAATAGACCACTCGGCAAACAATAACATATTAACTACCAAATGTGTAAAATTTCCTGTATTCACTTTGTCTTATTTGTAAATAGTGAATTGAGATTTCTTGCAGCTCAGCAACATTTGCTGAACTGTTTTTAAGCTAATATGTATTCTTATTGATTGTTCCTATCAAGAAAAGATTTGTAATATATGCTATTTCTAACATTGCATTCATTTTGAGGTTCTGTCTTATTTTTCTTAAGAGTTACTTCTCAGAACTTTCTTCAGAAGCAGCTTGTGAGCGAAATGTCCAGAAAGAGTGGAATCAGTCTGAGTTTGGGTTACCTGTCCCTCCACCGAACAAAGCACTTGCACAGACCAGGATTTGGCTTGGAGTGGGTTTCTGGTCAAGCAGGGAAAACAGAACAATCTCCCAAATCCCCCTTGAGGCACCTCTGCAGTGCCTTCCCCTTGGACACTGCCTTCCTCCCTGTGCAATCAGGGTCAGCACAAGGATTTATAGTTTGAGTTTGAGTGGTTGTTTTCTTTCCTGACAGAAGCCAATACTAGAAATAATGAATGTCATTTCTGGCCTTCATCTCGCTCTTGCTGAAGTAAGCTGAAGAACTCATGTGATCAGATGAGCTCGAGTTGACAGACTCTAAATTTGCCGTAATTTGGTGCGAATACAACAATTCCTGTGGTAAATCCCTGGGGCTTTGGTGTCCTCAGCAGCTCCTGTGACGTTGTTCACACTTTACCATAATGGTAAAGAGAAATGTTTGAGCACAATATCAGATCTGAGGTCACTGCAGATTTGGTTGCTTTTTGTAAGAACCGAGTCTGCACATTGGGACTCCCCCTCTGTCACAAAAATGTGAGGGGACTGAAGGTATTTGTGACTTCCAGCTCACTTCTGGTTGGGTTTTTTTTCCATTTCTCAGATATTAACAACAGTGATGGTTCCAATTTAATTTTTAGCAGCTTGTATGTGAAAAGAAGAGGAAAAAGGAATTCCATTTCAACACCTTAAACTGACAAAAGAGCAAAAGCTTTGCCCATAGAAAGGCTGACGTGTGTGAATAGGACACTGGTAGTGACAAGGGATCATTTCATGGCTCTGTGTATTGCCTATTTATGCATTTCTAGTTTCTCAGCTTTTCATTTTGCAAAAGGAATATTATTAAAATCATCATGAAAATAAGATTTTTGTGAATTCTCTTCAATCGGGGGTCCCTGTTTTTACAGTGCTTACACTCTGTGGGTTTTCTGGACCTCCAGGCCTCAGCTTTTGAACTGTTCCCTGGGCACCAGCCATGGATTGAATCCTGCAGAGCCCCCCAGCCTGAGCCAGAGCGTGGGATGGGCACGGTGGGATCCCCTGGGAGCAGAGTGGGGAAGGAGGTGCTGCAGGAACAGCACCCTCTGCCTCCCACCCAGACCCCAGAGCTCCTTGTTTTGGGACAGCCTCTCTTTTGGGGCTCTCCAATCATTCACTCCCTACAACAGGCAGGAAATTTGTCCAGCTCTAGGTCAGCATTTCTGCCCTTCAGGAGTGAAGCTGAGCTTGGCCTCACTGAGTCTGAGCCCTTCTGCACAGACCCCACTGAGCCCTCTGGAACTGCTCCTCCCATCCATCCCCCCTGAGTGGAGATCCACAGCTGATGTGGAATTTTGAATGTATGCAAGAAATCTCAAGTGTATCTTTTGTTTATAAATCTTTTTTCCCTCCCTCCCTCCCCTTCACTTTGGAACTCCCAAAGCAACAATTCAATGGTGGTTTTGAATTAGCCAAGTTCTGTTTAAAAAGGCTGGAGAGGGTAGATAAGCTCTGCTAATCCATTTCCTGATCCTGCAGGCTGGGTGTTCATCCCAGAACTGGGAAAGGTTTGCTCAGTGAAAGCAGTTTTTGGTGCCTCACCATGTGGAACTTGTTCAGGAGCAAATTAAGGGGTTTGTGTTAATGAGGCGCTGATTCTCGTTAATGAGAGGCTGCTCCGTGCCAGGTGCTGTGTGTGCAACCTGTGGGAGTCATTTTACCTGGGGATTTAACATCGGGAAAACTTGGAAAAGACAGTGCCAGCCCCTTGGTGTGATCCCAGCGCTCCAAGGGGGTGGCAGGAGGAGTCTGGCTCTTGGCTTAAACTCTGCTCTGGTTTAAAACACTCGTAAAAATTCGTGGCTCAGTTTCTGTTGTGAATGTCCCTGAAGTTTAAGTTAATCCAAAGAAGTAAAATGCAACTTGCTTTTGAAACGGGAGTGAGAAGTGCACAGTGTGGGCTTCTCAGTTGCCTCAGAGGTAATTCCTGGTGATTAGTGCTGATTCCACCGGCTGAATGGGTTCAGGGGTTTTATTTAAATATGCCCTGGAACTAAGTGGCCTGGAGCATAAGAAAGCAGAGTTATTATCCAAAAAAAAGAGGATATTCTCCCAACTTCTGCAAAGAGAAATGCTCAGTTCAGTGTGGAGAGGTGGTTCCTCTGTGTGGGACGTCACCACTGCTGGTCCTTGTGACACTTGCCTGTCACACGCTTTGTGCTGCATCAGTGGAATGTTTTATAAACAGGGAGATGTTTTATAAACATTTCTGCAAATCACTGGAGCACAAGTCCTTAAAACGAGCCCAAATTTCTTTGTCGTCACCTGGTCTCTTGTCTGACCTCGAAAGGTTGGGTTATGGCAGCAGTATTTTGAAGCTCCACGTATGTTGTTGGCTTTTCCACTTGGCCTGTCATTGTTTTTCTTAATCTCTTCCTTGGAAAAAGCAATAAAAGTGCTTTGTCTGCTGCCTGTCAGCATGACAGGAATCCTTTCCTTTGGGGTAGTGATTTTATAGGGAAGTTTGTGTGCATATCACCAAGCTTTTAAAACCAGAGCGTGCAGCAGTTATTGACAACATAGCGTGGCATTTTATTTTAAAAACTGGGGGAAGTTCCATATTTTTTTAAGGAGTAGGTGTTTGAGCAAATAATGGAGGTACTTTTTTAAAATAAATGTGTTTATGCCACAGTTTGCAGAGACATATTTCAGATGGGGGATACAGATTGTGTCTTTGGGTATGGTGATTTATTTTATCTTCTCAAGCTGTGTGTACAGAAACTCTTCCATCTACTTCCAGCTTGCTTATGGGGATCCTACTTTCTAAGCTTTCTAACGTATCAGGATTGAATTATCTTTCCAAAATCGCAGTTCATTTGGGAATCTTTGTTATAAGTGAACTATAAAATGCCTGAAATGCAGTTTTGGCCTTTTCTACCGGGTGATCTCCCAGCTGAGGCTGCTGTCTTTAGAATTTATGGAATTTCTACAAGGAGAGAGGTACTGAAATATTTTGCAAGCTGGACTTGTTGCAGGATTCAGCCTGGAGTGACCTGCCCTGACACCTCTGCTGGCCTGCAGAGGGGAGGGGGGATTTTTAGGTTCAGAACACCATGACACATGTATATAATCCTATACAGATCTGTGCAGTTCAAAGCTTGTTTTCCATGTAAACGTACTCCTGGAAGGGTGAAATTCATGGCATTCTTGGATTCTTCAATGCTTCCAGTATTGGAACTGGTTCTTTTTTGCACATTGTAGACCTGGCTCATCTTTTGATATGATTCTTCAAAAAAACCAAGTGCTGTTTCTGTGATATTGTATTATCTGAATCATCATGTTTAACTTTTTTTTAAAAAAAGTTATCGTTTCTAATTGTTCTGTTCCTGTGGTTTTTGCTGGTGTGTAATTAAAAAACCCGAAATTTTTCTTTCCCTGGTTATTTAATACTTTGGCTGCCTGTAAATATCTCTTGTTAAGTGCTCTGGAATGTGCTGTAGAAGTTGTATTAGCTCAGTTTAAAGCATTGTTTGAAACCTATTTTGGTTTGGTTATTTCTATTAAATCCGAAAATCACTCTTTCAATTTGAGTCTTCTTTATTGTTTTGGCACATCATTAGATAGAGACTCACATCTGGCAGAAGACTGTTCTGACACCTGCAGTGTGGCAATTGGGTGAAAATGGGGCTGCAGGAGTTCAGATGTGCCCAGCTGGGGCTGCGGGTTCCAGACAGAAAATGATTTGGCACCTTGGTGTGAAATGAAGGGATTTGAAGGTTTCTCAGGTTGGTTTTTTTTTTAGTGCTGCTTTTCATCCTGAAACTGGAAGGGACATCTGAAGGTGGGCAGCTCCCAGGGCTGCAGTTCTGGGGGTGGGATGGGATGGGATGGGATGGGATGGGATGCTTCCCAACAGAGCTGACAGCGCTGCTGGGGGTGGTTTTGAGGGGTTGTTGCCCATGCTCCTGCCCCAGTAAACACTGGGAGAATGAAGAGGGAGCTGAACTGGATTGCTGTGTGACCCCTGAGGGTGACACCTCGCCTGCCCTCCCTGTCACACCCTGCTCTGCATGTGGCTCATTGTTCTCCCCGTTGGAAATGGGTCTGTGGTGAAGGCAGAACTAAAAGCAGAATTGAGCCCACAGATCCTGGGCTATGGCCCAGTTCATCTGCAGCTCAGCAATTGGAATTAGGAACCTGTCTGGTTTAAGGAGCCATGAAATGACTGCAGCTCCCCCAGGCACCAGCATCAGTTGTGCTCCAGCTGCAAGAGCTGCAAGAAGAAAGCAGTGTGAGCTTCAGCTAAGCTGAAATTACCTCTGAAAGATTTTTTTGCAGTCAGTGACAGGCCTGGTAACCTGGAATGCCAACCAGCTTGGAAGTGTGTCTGTGCTTCCATAACCTGTGCAGCTGGTGAAGGCTCTGATCCAAGCAGGTTTGTTGTGTGTCAGCATTTACCTCCAGGCTGGAGCTCACAACTAACTTGCGTTTTTCTCTCATTATCTGTTTATTCTTTAGGTGCCTGTGGTGGCTCAGTGTCACAGGAGCTCCACGATGACAGAGCTGCCTTCCAGAAGAGGTTCAGTTGCCTTCACCAAAGCACAGATCTGTTCCTGCTAAACCAAACGACACCCACGTTCCCACCGAGCACTGGGGCGGCCTCTCCAGCCTCTGCAACCACCAGCAAAGGAGCAGGAGGTTTGAAACGAAACCCTTGCTCTTGAGATGGGTTTTGCTGCCAGCACGAGGTGGGGCTGGCTCTGCTGGACGTGAAGGGGTGGCTGATGGGATGCTCTGCTCACCCTCCCAACCCCAGAGGCTCTGCTGGCAGAGGGGGAGCAGTGGGGGAGCTCTCAGAGGGGTGTTTTGTTTCTCTTTGCCAGCTGCTGCCTCGCTGTGTCCAGAGCACTCCCAGCTCTGCCAGCCCATCTGCTGCAGCTCTGCCAGCCCATCTGCTCTGGCTCTTTCGGTGGGTTGGTGTTGGCCTTTGTGGCTGGACTGGCATCTGTTGCTTTCAGCTCCTCACTTTGACTCCACTCAGTCCCTGGTTTCACTCCGTAGGCTTGCCTGGATTTTTTTCCCTTCCTTTCCTGGCTTTAATTCTCCTGCCCTGCTCCAGTGACACTGAGCTGTTCACCCCTTCACTCAGTGCTGCAATGCAGTTGCCAATTTTTATTTCCCCTCCAGGGGAGCGTATCTGAATTTCCTCTTCCCATCCCAAAATTCTACCAAGGGTTAGAAACTGCTGCTAAACTGTTCAGCCCCTTGCTGCCATTGTAGAATTGACATCTAGTGTAGAATCCCAGAGTGGTTTGGGGTGGGAAGGGACCTTAAAGATCATCTCATTCCACCCCCTGCCATGGGCAGGGACACCTTCTGATATCCCAGGTTGCTCCAAGCCCTGTCCAACCTGGCCTTGGACACTTCCAGGGATGTGGATATCTCTGTGGACATGTGTGTGATTTTGGAGTCAGTGCCATCCTTCTCTGAGGGTTGAGATGGTGAGCCTGGATCTCCCAGATCTCTTTCTCCTTATTAATTCCCTTCACCCTGTGAGTTCTCTGGGTCACTTCAGTGCCTGAGCAGGCATTCCATACCATTCTCCTGTCTTTCACTCCATGTCAGTGGAGCAAACTGTGCAGAATGGAGCACTGAACACTGAGTAAATTGCTCTCTGCCAAATTACCTTCCAATGCTTTCCACGGGCTGGCACTGCAGCAAAGTGCTGGGTGATCTCCATGTGGGTTAATGCTCAGGAACTGGGATAATGTTTGCTAAATTAGCAGGGATTAAAAACAGGGATACGAATTCCTGCTCCTTTCATTAACACATCAGAGGTGAGCACGTTTAGCACAGAACTTTAACGAGCAGATCAAACAACACCTGCAGAGTGTTGGGTCACATCAGCTGAGGGTGCTGGTGCCTCCTCACCACTGGGGACTCCTCACCAAGGAACTGGTGGGGTGTTCAGGGGTGAATCTGCTGTTCATCCTGACACTGATGGTCATCTTCCATCCCTGGAGGTGTTGAAGGCCAGGCTGGATGGGGCTTGGAGCAACCTGGTCTGGTGGAAAGCGTCCCTGCCCTAGGGGACCAGACCCACCTGCATGACCAGAGGCCACTGAGCTGGGCTCAGCCATCCCAACTAAACCTGCCCAGCACCTGGCTTGCTGGGAGTATCTTTATTTTTTAATCTTGTGTATCAGGGATAACCACAAAAGCCTTTTGTGGGAGGAGAATCACTCAGAAGCGTTTGGAAATCGTGCCTTTTGAAGATTCCACTGCCGGGAACGTGGGGCTGGGATGTGCCTTTAGGCTGTGCCAAAGCTGTGGGGTCTGTGTGGCAATGTTTGTCTGCTTCAGATCACTTTCCTGTCAGGAAACAGTGAGCTCTGAAAGCTGCTGGAACCCCCATTCTTTTGGAATTGTGTTTGGAGCCGTGGTCAGTGCAGTTCTGCAGCTGTCACCGGGTGCACAACACGATCTGTGCCCTGGATCTGATCTGTTGGCTGCAGAGCAAGCTGCAAAATTCCAAACTGAATAAGCTGTTTCCTCTTGGAATTTGTCTGTGTCTCCAGGCAATCCCAAATGTAAGTTCTTTATCTCTGCAGGCCCAGATGTTTCCAAAGGAAGGAGATGTTGCAGCAGCAAGTCCTGGCAGGATGATGCAGGGGCTGTGCTCGGGATGAATTCTGTGTTCTAAATGAAGACAGATTATCTGCCCACCCGGGGTTTAATCAGCTCAAGACCACAGGGAAGGTGCAGGTAATTCAGAGTTGTGCTGGGAAGCAGGGAGTACTCTGGATAATCAGCCTTCTGCCACTGGACACACACCCTGCGTGATGGGGGGATCCCAATCGTGTAAGTTGTGCATCATTCTGCCAAGAATTTGTAAATTAACTGTCCATTCCTTAAAAAAAAATCTCTTACATGGATCATGTCACCAGATGGTGCTCTTAACACAGCCCTCTGCACGCTGGGCTCTGAGGGAACAAGTTCTGTCTTGGGAAGAAACTCTTGGTTTTGGGTTCTGAGAGGGACCTGCTGAGGACACCTCGTCATCATCATGGGTGCAGTGCTGGGGTCAGGGAAAGCTGGGGAAATGTTTTCATTCTCAGTGAGTTCCTGTGACATTTCAGCTCTTTCTGTCTGTAAGATGGAAAGAAATGCTGAACCATATTAACCTCGTTTTGCTGCTGGGTTGGTTTTATTTGTTAAGATTTTGTTAAATGCACCAAAAAAGGAGGCAATCCAAGATCTTATTTCCTTCAAATCATAGTCCAGAGCCAGTTGTTACAGGGAGCAAAATCCTTGGTTGCAAATACAACAGCGAGGAAAAGGCAGGAGGGGAGGGATGATGTGAAAGTGGAGACCCCCTGGCTGTGCTGTTGGTGCCAGGTCGTTCCACCAGGAATGAGGATCAGCTGTGGAACAGGCACAGACAAGTGGGGAACAAACAGGAAAAGTGGGATGTAAAGCAAAACTCTCTGTGCTATAAATCTCATGGATTTATGGCCACTTTGGGCTCACAGAATCATAGAATGGTTTGGACTGGAAGGGACTTTACACCTGAAATCACACGGAGATCACCAGATGCAGTGGCAGTCCATGGAGTGCACTGGAAGGTAATTTGGGAAAGAGCAATTTACTGAGCATTGAGTGTTTCATTCTGCATGGTCTGTGGTTCCTCACACCCTTGGGCAGTGTCCATGTTTGAGTGGAATGTGGTAACCTGGGGGCTTCAACCTCATCCATTTCTGTCTCCACCTCAGCCCTAACAGAGCGCTGTGGTTCCTGCACCTTGCACAGGAAAAAGCTGGGAATGCTGGGCACAGCTGGAAGCAGCAGCAGCACATCCTGCACATCCCCAGCCTGGGACCTGCCTCCTCTGCCCCCTCTTCATCACTGTGACAGCAAGGCATGGGTGGGCTGGTGGAGCTTGCAGCGAGCAGGAGTGTCTGGGGAGGTCTCTGGCAATTATAAATGAACCATTTATTCATCGAAATCTGCTGCATGCAACAAGTTCTCATTTGAGAACTTCTCCTGGGCTTGTTGTTTCTGCCCAGTTATAATCCACCCAATTCTCCTCCATTTACACACAGGCATGGGATCCTTTTAGTGGCTGAGCAGAATGTAAATGTGCCAGGCCATCTTATTTGCTGCTGGCTGTTGAAAACTAAATTCTGTGGAAAGTGATTCAGTGATGCTGCTGGGTCTGGAGACTCTGCCTTGCCCTGTGCTTCCTTCTTGCCTTTCCTGGGTGAAGGGCACACTGAGTGGCTCCACAGGAAGGCTTTCTGGAACTATATCTGAGACAGGATTTGGGGGGTCACATGTGTAAGGTGACCCAAAGCCAGCCTGTGATCCTGTGGTTCTGTTGTGAGTTTTCCTGCTGCTCCTCTCTGGGGGGGGATGTGGAGCTCTGGGAAAGGAGAGACAACAGAAACCAAAGCTTGGGAAAGGCCCATGTGCTGAATGGCTCAGATGAACCTGGTTGTGTTTCTCTGTGAGGATCCTTGGGGAGATGGTTGCCAGCACATCTGTCATTTAGGATGCTGTCTGTTGTCACCCGTGGAAGGAGATTA